TCACCAGAGAGACACTGGGGAGCAGAACAGGCAGAGTGACAAAGTGCACTGCTGAGGGGGAACAGCAGGGAGACAGGAGAGGTCTGCTGCACCTTGTGGGTCAGCTCCCTGGTTGGGGATGGAACTCAACCCATAGAGTTGAAGAGGTGATAACGCTGGAACTTACCCCCAGGCCAACAAGTAGGCCCTCATTTTGTAATCTCTTAACACTACTTTGTATTGAAAAATCTATATTCAATCATACATTTCTTATTACAAAGGAAAAACTAAATTTTCAATGGAGAGATGATAGTTACCAGTTTAGCTATGTGTTAGCATCGATGAGATATTCTGACATGATGTACCTCTTAACCATGAAGTTATTCTTGCTGAAAATATCTAACCTGAACTTAAGTAAGTATACTCAAATTTATGTCAACAGCATCAATCACTCGGAAGACTTGTTAAGAACAAAGCATGCTAGATCTCTGGCTCAGTTTTATATGCAAATTAAATTCAGAAAATCTGGAATGTAACCCAACAATATGCTTTTTTCACTCAAGTCCCCAGATGCTGCTCAAGCTGCTGACCCAGAGATGCTACTCTGAGAACCACTGCTCTTGACGTAACTTTCAGTTTACAGAACTATAGGAACTGCTAAAGGAGCATATTAAATTACCAGACAAGTCTAGAGTGTAAAGCATGCTTTATAAGAACTGGCCTGCAATCTCCCTAATGAACACTGATGCAAAAATCCTCAACAAAATACTTGTCAACAGAATCCAACAATGTCTCAAAGAGATAATACATCAAGATCAAGTGGGATTCATGCCAGGAGCCCAAGGATGGTTTAACATATGAAAAAAAATCAATAAATGTCAATCAACACATGAACAAAAAGAAACTTAAAAACCACATGATTATATCAATAGGTGTTGAAAAAGCTTTCAACAAAGTCCAACATCTATTTATGATGAAGGCCCTTGAAATTCTAGGGATTGAAGGAACATACCTAAAGATAAGAAGTCTTATTTAACAAACCCACAGCCAATATTATTCTCAATGGTGAAAAGCTGAAGGCTTTTCCACTAATAGGATCAGGAAAATGACAAGAACGTCCACTCTCACCACTCCTCTTCAAAGTAATACTAGAAGTCCTTTCCAGAGCAATAAGACAAGAGGAAGTCATACAAGGAGTTTAAATATGGGAATAAGTAATTCTATCACTATTTGCGATGACATGATAGAGAACTGTAAAAACTGCACAGAAGAGCTACTCAAAATAATCAACCAGTTCAGCAAAGTAGCAGGATACAAAAATAAACACACAAAAATCAGTAGCTTTCCTATGCACAATCAATCTGAAGAAATCAAGAATCCCTTTTAAAATTGAAAGCAAAAAAAAAAAAAAGTCAGATATTTGGAAACAAGCCTAACAAAAGATGTGAAGGACCTATACAAAGAAAATTATAAACCACTATTAAAAGAAATAGAAGACACAAGGAAATGGAAAAATATCCCCTGCTCATGAACTGGGAGATGTAACCATATTAAAATGGCCATCCTACCAAAAGCAATTTACAGACCGAATGCTATTCCAATAAAAAATAACACTCTTCAAAGAAATAGAAGACACACTGATGAAATTCATATGAAACCACAGAAAACCAAGAATAGCCAAAGCCCTGCTGATGAAAACAAAGGAAAACGGGAAGTATCAGACTTCCAAACTTCAGTCTATATTACAAAGCCACAATAATTAAAGCAGTGGCACTGGAACAAAAACACACAGACCAGTGGAACCAAATAAAGCCCAGAAATAAACCCACACATATATGGACAATTAATCTTTGACAAAGAAACAAAGAATAAGCAATGGAAGAAGGACAGTTTAACAAATGGTGCTGGGAAAACTAGACTAACAAACAAGCAAAAAAAGAAACTAGACCACTATCTGACACCATGCATGAAAATCAACTCAAAATGGATAAGATATTTGGGAATAAGACCTGAAACAATAAAATATATACGAGAAAATATAGGTAAAACACTACAAGACATACATCTCAAAAACATCTTTAAAGACTCTTTACCCAAAGCAAAGAAAATGAAGGAAAAGAAACACATGGGACTACATCAAACTGAAAAGCTTCTGCACAGCACAAGAGACATTAAAATACCCTACTGACTGGGGGGAAAGAATCTTTGCACTCCGTACAGCAGACTAGGGCCTGGCCACAAAGATATATAAAAAGCTCACTCGAATCAACAAAAACAAAACAAACAGCCCAGTCAAGAAATGGGCAGAAGAACTTAAAAGACACTTCTCCAAAGAGGAATTGCAAATGGCCAACAGACATATGAAAAAATGTTCATCTCTCATAATCAGGGAAATGCAAATCAAAACCAAAGTGAGGTAACACCTCACACCAGTGAGAATGGCACATAAAAAAAAAAAAAAAAAACCTAACAACAAATGTTGGTGAGGATATGGTGAAAAGGAACTCTCCTACATTGCTGGTGGGAACGCAAGCTGTTGTAACCACTATGGAAAGCTGTATGGAGATTCCCCAGACTACTGAAAATGGAGCTACCATACCACCCAGCAATTCCACTCCTAGATATCTACCCAAATGACACAAAAGCATTAATTCAAAAAGATACACAAACCCCTATGTTTATTCCAGCACTATTTACAATAGGTAAATCCTGCAAACAAACCAAATGGCCAACACTAGATGATTGGATCAAGAGATGTACTGTATATATACATATCGAATGGTTTCACTCATAGGAGGAATTTAAGAGAATCAAATAAGACAGGGTGGGGGGGGGTGTATTGTCACTACAATACAAAACAAAACAAAAACAGACAATTATAAACCAGAGAGATCCTACAGGGGAGGGAGGCAAAGTGGGATCAGAAGGAGGGAGGATGCGGGAGGTTATGGTGATGGGAGAGGAGGGGCAAGTCAACATTCTTATAAAAAGAACAATAATATAAGTTGATATTTTTAAAACAACTGGCCTGGACTCCAAAAAATTAATACCACAAAGAAACAAAAATAGCTGGAAGAGTCAGAAACCAGATTAAAAGAGACCACTGAATTATAACATAAAACAATACAATACACAAAAGATTGGCTGGATCCTGGGCTGGGCTGGGCTAAAAACCAAAACCAGCCATTAACATCTGCCTTAACCAGTCCAGGGCCAGGAAACAAGCCCGGTTTCTTCATCACATGCTTGCTGCTCCATGTGGCTCCTCTGGTCTCCTCCTGGGTCTCCATCATGCCTCCTTCTTCTGATTCCTTCTCATCTCTCCTTTTTTCTCTTCTCAGCTCCACCCTCCTTCTGGGTGGGGAAGGGAACCAGGAACGTCCCCTTTTCCTAGGGACCACCCTGTTACATCCCTGACTGCGGCAAATAGATCCCTCCACAGCCTCATCCCTCCTCATTTCACCAACACCTTGGCCATGTCTGAGTGCTGTCGAGCGCCCCTCCCCCAGGCTGCAGCTGGTGACGCCACACAAGCCACCAGCGAGACTTTAGCCATAAGCAGACCCACAACTGAAGGCACAGCACCACCTACTGGGGAAAGGACGCCTTTTCCAAAGATGCTGAATCAGAATTCAGAGCCTTGAGCCTGACAAAACCTACACAGTGGTATAAACACCAAAGGCACAGGCGGGGCATGTACCGTCAGCCAACACAGAACTCTAGAGAAAGAATCAGAATTTTTCCAGAAAGCAAACTTAAAGACATGTACTATTAGGCTCGAGCAGTGAACTTGAAATAGTTGTCATGGAGAAACTCAGAGATACAAGAAAACTCAGAAAAGCAACTCAATGAACTCCAGAATGAAATTAATGAGCAGAATGCATCCTTTTCAAGAGATTGAAGTTATGGATGATAAACAGACTCAAGATGCGAAGAACATAAGAAATAAGATCAGGATTGCTACAGAAAATGTTAAAAATGGAATAGACCAAATGCAACAGAACAATGAGCTTGAAGAATGGTTCGGGTAAATGAGAAAGAAAATGAAATGCCACATGGGCTATTTGATTCCATTACAAAAGGCAACACAGATTCATGGGCACCCCAGAAGGAAAACAGGAAGGCTGCAGTTTTCTGCAGAGGGGAGTGTCATGACAGCCTGTGACAACCTTCAATAATTTAGGAGGAGGGAAAAATGTGAACAACACATAAAGCAAATGTGACAACATATTAGCAACTGGTTGAATCTAAATGAAGGACATAAAGCATTTCACAGACTATTTCAACATTTTTGTATGTTTGACAATTTTCAAAATAAAAAGCTGAAGGAAGGAAAAAGCTAGAGGTGCTTATTCTAATTTTGTAGGTAGTGGGAAAGGCATACAAATGGAATACAGACAGACTTTACCAGTTCCTTATAACCATGGTGGGCTGGGCTGGCTGATAATTTATTCTAATTTCCATATTTAGAAGATTCCCTTTAACAGTATTTTTATATTACTTTTATAATCAAGAACAATTTAAGCATGCTCTTTAAAAAATGTCAATAAATGAGCTTTGGCCAATATCACATAAGCAGCTCTCTTCCCGACAGGCCACCCAGTTAACTCAGGGCAGAGCAAGAGTGTGCTGGCCTCTAGGGTTTCACTTTCTTCCCAGAACACCTCACAATGGAGCCGCGAGGACACTCACTTGGTGCTGGTTCTTATTCTCCATGTGCCCCAGCTTGGTATTCATTCTATCCTGGACTGACCCCAGTTCTGCTTTGAGGTCCTCCACAGTTGCCTCCAACTGATTCTCCAGCTTGTTGATTAGGGGTTCACATCGACAACCGTTTATTGGTGCCTAGGAGGGAGACCAGAGTTAGACCAACTCAGTTGTTCCTTCACGGAATTCAAGTTCCCAGCACATGCCGGTCAGTGTCATGAGGATGCAGATGATGGAGGAGGCAGATTCACCCTTCTGGTGACCTTCAGATGTCTGATAGGCCAAGCTTTGGGTCACCAAAGCTTCATAGGCACCAGCAAGATTCAGAAAGGATCAGGCATGGTCCCAGTATCCTCAAAGCTGCCTGGCTGCTACCTCCTCCCTTCCGCCTCCCCTCCCAGGGAAGCCTGGGCCCAAGTGACACCAGCAGAGCTGAACCATGTAGCGGGGAGGGCGGTCTGGCTTCCTCCGAAGCTCATCTTAAGTCAATGCCTAAAGTGGGTGTCAGCCCCCAGGACATTCTCTCGGAAGGCCACGTCCTCGTCAGCAGTACCTGCATGACTTTCCCATCCTTGCCCCTGTACAGGGTGTAGAGCTGGTAGGCTCTAAACTCATGGGGAGGGGGTGGCGGTGAACTTCGATGCCTGGGTCTCTTTTTAGAGTGATTATGAGTGTGAGAGTTCTTCTGGCGTCCAGGCTGTTGGTCTGCTGGTGGGGTGGGGTCAGAAAACGCTGATACCTGTGGGAAAGGGGAAAAATAACACCCCTGAGCACCTGAAACCTCAAGACTGACACCAGCCTGAGACTTCCACTTCATGTCCCACTTTTGGCCAAAGAACCCTACTTTGTCCGTGGTATTGTCCGCCCAGCACCCCATGTCAACTACAGCTCTGTGTAGTCAGTGTGCTAACCCTGTTGGGATAAGCCAGATTTGATTTCTGTACTTTGGCTTCAAATCAGCAAGCCAGCGAAGGGGCCTCTGAGCTGCTGGCTGCTGCCAACCTGCCTCCCCATCCTGTCTCGGCTGCTCTCTCGATCCTCCTGACCTTGGGCCTTGACTTTCTGTGAGTATTGTCCTTGGCTCTGGGCTCTGGGGAAGCTGACAGGATATCTTCTCTGGTGTCTTCTTTTCTGGGTGCAACCTGTTCACTGCTAGGGGTGTCTCCTGCTGAGACACTACCCTGCAGAGGGAAGAAGAAAAAAGCCTAAAATCCTGTTCACTTTTGCAAGATCAGCATAAAATTCTGTTTGCAAGACTCCATTCACAAAAGGACCCATGAAAACCTTTGCCAGTGTGACACATGGGGAACATACCTCAACAGGAATGCTTTTCCTGGCTGAATATTGGGCTATTGTTTTCATTATTGGCTGCCAGACTAAATATAGTCTTGGGCCTAATCCTACGTTCTAGATCTTCAAGAACATACCCTAGGTAAAACATCATTAGATTGTTTTACTCATTTCAACAAAAAGGAACCCCTTCCATTTCTTGAACTTGGAAGCTCAAAATTCATAGTGAGAGTGAGAATCCTCTGAGAAAAAAAAAAAAAAGCCCCCCATTTCTGGTCCTTGTGAGAATCTTCACAAATTAATATGTATAATTCACACAGTGGAGCTTAATCAGAGTTCTAATGCCATACTCCTGGAAACTGATAAGAAGAGTCCAAGACAGCAGACAGAAGAGTAAGTACTCAGGGATACAGGTTAAGTGCCAAGTGTCTCAATATCCTATTTCTCCCTCCAGGGACACGAGAAGGCACAGTTCATTCTAAGGCTGCTGTACACAGCTCTGAGGCTGTGGGCACAGCAGGGCACCCGGTAGTCAGGACAAGTGATGCAGAGGGAGCTGGATGCAACCTGGGCTTATCGGCCGCCCAGCAGCCGAGCCTGCTAACTTGCACTGAGCAGTCACGAGGGCCAGCACGCTCCTTAGGCGGGAAGGAAAGCAGCAACCCAGTCAATGGTGGTCAAACTTGAGTCCACATCAGATCTACCTGCAAGGGTTGTTCAAAAGCAGATTGCTGGGCCCCACCCGGGGTTTCTGGTCCAGCAGGTCTCAGGTGAGGTCCAGGAATCTGCATTTCTAGGTCGGTTTCAGATGACACCCCATGGACACACTGAGAACCATCGCTCTGCAGAATCACGGTCGTGGGACCAGAGAACCTAGCTCTCCAAGGGGTACGGAGTGAGGACACATACCCACATAGGTGCCCGAAAAGTGGGGAAAGACACACAGCACGCGACCCGAATCGTGGGGGCAGAGGACATGATGCCAAAGAGAAGGAGACTGTCAAGAGTCTGCAGAACTCAGTGGTCAGGAGAGACCGAGATGGGCAGAGCAGCCTCCACGTGACCCCCGAGGAAGCAGGGAGATAGTTTGCCACCCTCAGTTAGAAGGCGGATTGGGGCGGGGCGGGAGGGCCACCCCCACCTTGCTTTGTGCCACCTCATCTCTCGGCACAGACTGAGCTCTCCTTTCTTCCTTGAGCCTCTCTCTCTTTTTCCTCAGGCTTCGCCCACGACTGAAGCGCAAGACCTGAAGGAGGCAAGAAGCATCGTTACAAACCATGGGTGCATGCAGCCTCAATGTGAGGGAACTCTCCTTGGACCTGGAGCTCTCATTTAAGGAAACTGGAAACTGCCTGCCCCGTGGGAGGGCCAAGCACTCATGTCCAACAAGCACCTGTGATGCCTCCCATGTCTCATGCAGGGCATCACAGGGCCCGGTGATGGTGGACAATCTCAAGGAGCGGCAGTCCATGGCAAGGACAACTGGCACTTATGTGCTGGCCAGTCATATTTGTCATACACAGCCATCAAGTGGGGATGTAGGGGCTGGGCACTGCCTACCTGCAGGGAGCACCATTCACGCAGACTGGTACCCTTGCAGCTGTGCAGTGCGGCCGCCCTGTGCAAGGCACAGTCTCGTTATCTTGGTACAATGGAGCCAAACTAGCCCATCAGATTTTTCTCCAACTCATTTAATTTGATTCAAATATGACTAAGGTACATCTGTTAGCCACAGTACCATTGGCCAAGAACTTTTTCCCAAAAGGAGGCATTGGGTCTGCCCTTCGAGGGCTGAGGGGTAGAATGCACACAGATAAGTACATGTGGAATCCTGAAGACCAAGGACGGAAGCCAGCATCAAGCTGCAGGAGTTTTGGGCAAGTCGTTGGATTCCTGTGCTCTAGCTGCTCAAATGCAAAGAATGGGAGTTGTTGGGATTAGCCAAGACACAGCAGGTGGCTGGCACACCTTGAACCCACAGTTACTGTCAGGTGCCTCCCACCTGCCAGGGTGCCTTTGGGCTGCTCGCTTGACAAAAGATGTTTAAAAGAGCTCATATCTTTGAGCTGGTGGAAACCTTCCCCCTGGCTCTGCTCCACACCCTCCTCCCAGCCATACTCAGTTCCAGGGTTTATTTCCTTTAACCAAGCGGGTCCAGAAAACCTTTTCCAAGGCCTTTCCATACAAAAACATGTCTGGTCTTATATAGACTTATATAAATAGATATAGTCTTATATAAATAGATAACGACTCTGAAGATTGACATCATGGTTTTCACCTCAAAGTCAGACTTTTTTTCTCTTGGGTCATTATGTTCAAGTGCTATCAGTGGATGACAATAAGAAACTCTATGGGGAACAGTACCACATAAATAGAAAATTCCTGACAGAATCTTGCCGCACTGGATTTTAAAAATCATTCTTATTCCCTAAGTCAGCAGTTCTGAAAGGGTCCAGGGTCTTCTGAGCCCACAAGGTTAAAGTTGTTCTCATCATCTCAACAACGTTGGCCTTTTCCACTCTCCTGCTCTTGCATGATTATACAGTGGCATTTAGAAGAGGTTGTTGGAGTACTGCAATGGATTGCATGTAGAAATGGAGAGTAGACTTGTAAAAATGTAAAGGCAATTCTGTGCCTCTCATTCATGGTTTTAAAACTAGTCCACAAAATGAAGTCCAGGTTAACACAAAATGGTCATATTTTTAAGAGAACATATATCTTTCATTTTTTTTACTCTAATTTCAAATATGGTAGCTATTGATACCACTCACATAAACAAAGCTCTTTGTGGGCCTCCAAAATATTTAAGAATGTAAAAGTATCCTTAAGCTAGTAAATCTTAAGTTATTTTCTAAAGTCAAATACAGCCTCACTATAAAGCTGAGCCTGACGCAAGGAAGTGACTAGTGCCTGTCCCTCCTCTGGTTTGTGGACACTTAGAAACAGGACACAGAGCCAGAATCACTCTGAAATTCATTTTCAGGAGCATTTGTGAATTGTGTCAATCAAAAATGACATGTAGAGGTTATCCAAGCCCAAAATCATTATTAAAAATTTTCCTCCCATAACCCAAGTTACCAGCCAGGGAGAAATCACTTTACATGACTTACAGCCTTTTTCAGCCACCATTTCATCCACCAGATGTAGATCACTGATCTTTTCCAGTTCACAGAAAGCATGGAATATTGATCTTAAGGCCTCAAAAGAAATATTCTTAGTACTGCTATGAACCACTAAAATTCAGGTCAACTAAGGTAGCAAGGGATGGGGATTTCTTTTTTAAATAAAACAGCTATTTCTGTAGCTACAGATTAATAGAACATATAATTTTATGCACATTCCAAAGTTCCTTCTTTATGTTGAGAGTGCGCTTAATATAAACAACCCCATAAAATAAACTTTCCTAAAAAGTCATCCCATTTAATTCCTATTCAATATGCAGGCACAGAAGAACTTGCTCAAATTATTTTTAAATGGAAACACAGAAGGAAAACTGTGTAGAAAGTGGTCCATGGAAAAGCTTTCTCCCCCATGAATTAAGGACCCTGGGCTCTGGAAAACATTCGTCTCTGTGTTTAGAGGATACCCCGTTGCACAAGACTCGATGACATTCATATAACTCAGCAAGGGGCTGGCTGTCCAGCAAACTGTCAGACAGTAAATACCTGATAGTTTGATAGCCATGGATTCTGAACTTAGATAGCACCCTATACTTTGATACATGAGCGACTAACATTACCAGGTTTATGGATGCACTTTTGATGAGGATTTTATTACAAATAGTTGACAGAGTACCTGACTCACTCCTGGACTTCCTGAAGCAAAAGATGATCAATTTTGTAAAATAACTTTTTTTTTTTAAACCACTAGCTATATCAGGCGCATTTCTAAAACCTAGAGTAATAAAGGTCATGTTCAAGCCTGGCTGGGGTGGGATTGTGATGTAGCAGTCTCTTTCCAGAATCTTCCTCTGGCTCCCTAGACATTGTCATCCCAAAATAGGAAACAGAGTAAGATGAGAAACCAACTGGTGTTTACTGTAATGTCATATGGAATGACTCCAATCTGAAAATAATCTAAATACCCAAATGTTAAGGAAGCAGGTTAACAAAAACAGCAGCAACAAAACATACTATGATTCCAGAGCATAAAGAAATAATTGTGAAGACTGCGGATCATTTCCCTACATTAGGATAAAGGGCAGAATCGAAAAGGCTATGTGACTGCGCTGTAGCTGCAATCCTAAAAAAAATCACCTTTCTCTGGAAGGTGATATGAAAAAGCAAAGTGCTGAAGTTATGACTAGCTTACAAGTCCTCATTACTAATTATTATTTAGGTAATTTTAACCTCAACTCAAATGATGACCGTCGATTTTAAAAGCAGAATGATAGCCAAGGTACCACCATTCAATAAAAATGAGAAAGCTATTCAGGCTTCCCCTACTACTTCAAAGTAAAAAGTTTCCATTCAGTTCTGATTTCCTACATTTGGTCTCCATATAAGTGAGTGGGGACAGCACTGCCAGACCTCAAAATAACCAAACAGGAAAGCTACAGGTGTCAGAGACAACCTTACCGTACTTAACGTCTCGAGTGAACATGCACAGCGGTGTCCAGAATGGGGCCTCCCTCCCACCTTGCTCTGGGAAATACCTCTTTTGACCACACAGCCCAGTGGATGCTCCCCTCCTCCTAAAGCCCACCTACTCAGGGCTTTGGCCTCAGACTCCTGAGTCATGATCTCCTTGGGTGTTGCTTTAAACTAAGATGCCCTGCCTGGCTCAGTGCCTGGGAAGTCAGATGAGGAAGCTGGAGGCATCAAGGACCCAGCCACTGGGACCACCTGTCCCCTGGGAAGAGCCATCTGCTGAGCCTGCAGGTTCGGGTGCAGCCACCCAGAGACCCATGTGGACTTCTGCATTTTCTTCTGCCTGGTCAGTGAGCCAGTCAGTTCCCTATTTAAGTTAAATTGAAATGGCTTCAGTAGATGGCAACCAGAGGCAGCCCAAGGACTGCCGCAACACGTAATGTGACGGGAAACGCAGCAACTCCTACCTGGGGAGCTTTGGTGAGAAGAAGAGCAACTTCTGGATTATCGTGGTAGCGGGCAGTCTCCAGCGGAGTCTGGCCTGCCTAAGGAAGACAGGGAGAACAAGTCAGTCAAGAGCCCACTCAGCCACTCACCCAGGCGGGACAGCAGTCTGCGCTCAGTCACGCCTGTCCCTACACGTGCCCAACAAGCACTGTGGTCCTGCTCTCGAGTCTCTCTCATCCCAGCCAGCGAGGGAGCTGACCACCCCGAGGACAGGGCGGTAAACAACACACAGCCACTGGGGTGGAGGGGCGAGCACGCAGTCAGCTGTAGAGGCAGAGGCGTGGCAGGGCACACCAAGGAATGCTGCCCGGGACACAGGGAAGGTGCAAATCACACAGGGTCAAGGCGAAGAGTTCAGGAAACAACAGAAAGGACCACAAAATCAGCCAACCAGTGAATTTCCCCTGGAGAACAAAGGGAGGACACTGGGAAGGCTCCATCAGGGCCCAGCCGCCTCTGAGTCTCAGAAACTGGACTGTGGAAAATTTAGGAAGCTATGGCCACAATGCAGAGTCTAGGGAGATAAGACAACAACAAAACCAGGAGCTAGTAACATGCATTCAGCAGCCAGGAAATGTATCTGGGTAGCCTGTCAATGGCACTATGAGGCAGTTCTGGAGCTGTGAGGAGGGAGGGAGCCGGATCTGGAGCCTCTACCAGTCTCAACGCAGACTGGCCCTCAGACCTGCCACAACCCTTCTGCCCCTGTCCTAGCCACGGGGGTAGAGGCCACTAGTGAGCATCAAGAAGAAAGGTTGCTTGAGCTGGTGCTTGCCGGGGCAGCTGTGGGAATGGTAGGAAGAAAATACTGACAGGCATGAGATACACTGGTTTTGGGGAGAACAGAGTCAGAGTTTTAAGGAAGCTTTATCTGATAAGGCCACTTGTTCTGAGGACCATGCCATTCACACACTCAGAAGTCACTTTTAGTAACAACCACTTAGCTGCTCCTGACTTCCCTTCCATTCCAGGATGTGCCCACTAAAGTTGGGCCCTCAGATTGTGGCTTCAGGGGGCTCTACCATCTTCCAGAGTAAGGCCGTGTGCACCCCAAGTGTGTAGGTAATGAGGCAGTAACAATCACCCCATTATGAAGAGAAATGGAAACAGCCATGGTTGTAACTCACGTTATTAACAATGGTCCCATCTGCTCCAGCTTCCAGTAAGATTTTAACCACCTTCTTGTGATTTAGGGCAGCAGCAATATGCAGAGCTGTGTCACCAGCCTGAAAGTAATCAGAAGAAAGTCTGCTAAACCGCATCTGATCATGGCCTATACGCCCTTTGCCCAAGTGTTATGTGGCTCTTTTTAAAGAGCTCTTGGGGCCCTCCCTGGTGGCACAACGGGTTAGGACCAGCAGTGCAAGCGAGCCACAGCTGCAAGTTCAATGCAAGTTCGATCCCCAACCTGGGAGGTGACCCATATGGCGCGGCAGACCTCTCCTGGCCTGCCCGCTGCTCCCCTCAGCAGTGTACTTCATCCATCTGCCTATTCTGCTCCCCACTCTGACTCTGGAGAATCCTCTCAGCATCCTGCACCTCTGGCTTAGACCCCAGTTCTGTATGCATAAATAATTTTAAAAAATCAAAGAGCTCTTGGGACTAAGTGGCCTATGCATAAATTTTTTTTTTTTTTCCAACTGGGGATACCAGAAATACCAAGATTAAATACAAGGGGCAAAAGTGATGCTGGGTCAGGGCTGTTGAGCCCAGCCTTACATCAAGGCAGAGTGAGAAGCAAGCGGCCAGGGGCTGGCAGGCTAGCCCTTCTGGAGCCTGGGCCATGTCTGCTGGCCAAGCAGACGAGAGGTGGTTTCTCTGTGCTTGGCTGAGCAGAAGTTGTGAAGACAGCTACTTCTCACCAGAGAAGAAACAGCTGAGCCCTGCTGTGCTTGTGGGGATGCAAAGGGGCTGGTGAATTATTCAGTGGCTCAGCATGCTCTTTGTTTAGGGAGACATTGAGAATTAGGGCTCACTTAAGACCAGCTGCTTTCAACCTCTTACCCATATCCTATATGTGCTCACATATTCAACATACAAGGAGTGTGTTCAGATCAACTATGAAAGGGAACTACTGAGGTGAATTCAGGAATGCTATTTTAATTCCCCTGATGACTGCTCGAGGCACTCAGAATGCAGGTTGGGTGGAGCAATTCCAATTCCTGCCACTCCTCCATCCCATGCCCCAACCAAAATAACTGAGAAATAGAAAGGAAGTGAAATAATCCATGATCGGGTAAATTTTTTCCCCCCTAGGGTAGCATGAAAATCCAATGAATAGCTGGGGCAGTGAATAGCTGGGGCAATGTTTATTTCATTGTGTGTCACCTAGTTGTTGGTATTGGGGAAATTCTGTAGCAGTGATTTCCAGTCTTGGTTGCACATTAGAATCAGCTGGAAAGCTTTAAAATACTCTTGACCAGGGTCCCACCCCCAGGTTCTGATCTCATCCATCTGGAATATGGGTTGGGTTGTAACATGCCTCAAAAGGTGAGGAGCACTGGCTAGTGGGGGCTATGTAGGGCTAATTTGATGAACTAGAATCTACTGGAGGTTAGAGAATGGCAGAATGTAGCTATATTTATTAGGTCGTGGTTCTTAATGCTGTCTTTATAGTCAGACTGGGATTTTTTTTTTTTTAATTTCATTGCCTGGATAATCTGGCCGTTTAAACTGGGGTGAATTCAAGAATGCTATTTTTAATTCCCCTGATGACTGTTCAATGTACTCAGAATCAGAAGCTACTATTTTAGTATACTTAACCTCAATCACAATCTAGTTTTAAGTTTCAGATGTATGCACCCAAACTCAGTAAAACCAGTTAAGTGCATCAATTAGTATCAGAATACTCAAGACACTTTTTTTTTTTAACCCAAATGACTACCAGAAATTATATACATTTCCATGGAGCACTATAACAATTACAGCTCTATTTCAAAATCCCAGCTTCTATGGCAGATAATTTTACAGAAACCAGAGACTCCATGAGTTCAAATACCCGGACAACAGTCATGAGGCACTTCATTTCCTTGCTTATTTACTAAGCCACATTCTTTCTTGTGGTTTCTTTAAAATCGTATTTAAAAACAAAACCTGGCCCAAGATCTAGAGAATGTTTAATATGCAAAAGTGGCGATAAGCACTAGAAAGAACAGCAGGCTTTCTCTAGGAGGCAGATAAACCATAGGACTCAGTGGAAGACTCACGCACAAACAGCCCTAACTGAGCCCCAAGGTGGGTAGGGCAGCACCTTCCAGCTGCCTCTGCTCCAGCGGCCCCCACGCACCTGTCCGTTAGCCCTGTGGGGAGGACTCATGCACTGACCTGGTTCTTTTCATGGACAGAACAGAAAGCACTGAGGAGGAGCTTAATGATGGACAAGTGATTATACCGCGCAGCAACGTGCAAACAGGTGTCTCCTGCCTGTGGACAGAAATCAAACTCTAAGCCGTAAGCAGTTACAAAGCAAATAGAAAATATTTAAAAGTACATGTCTTTGAAGGGTGTCAGTCTAAATGCCGAGTGTCTCCTTTGGCACAGATGGCCTACTCCAAGCCTCACAGCCCTGCTTTCCCCACCATACACTCCGCATTCAGGTTTTACACACGCTCTGCTCCCTAGAACAAGACCTCCACAGAGCAAGGGCGGGCTCTGCTTACTCAGCACTTGACGAGAGCCTGCCGATACTGGCCTCTCTGACAACCCAAAGGCTCAGAATTAAGACCCATAGCACTGCTCTGGAAACAACCTATTCCCATCACAGTGGAAAGGATGGAGCACGAGGGTTGCACAACCCTCAGATTGTAAGATCCCATGTATTCTCAAAAAAATTCAAGGACCATGTTATTTCAGTAGGAACAAAATAGCCCATCTGGAGCCATGGAGTCAGGGAGCTGATGAGGATCAGTCACTGGGAGTTTAAAAAAAAAAAAAGAGGCAGAAAAATCTCAGGATCAAGAGCTTCTTTACTGGGCACAAACCAAATGGCTCCCAGACAGACAACAGAACTGGAGCCCAAAAGTAGTTACTGTCATCAGCATTCTTTTGATGTTTCCCTCCTAGCTCTGTGTAGAGATGAACCGCTCAACGCTTCTCCCTGACATTAAGAAGCTGAGTTTGAAGCATTCAGAGAAGCACCACAGATGAGTCTGCAACAGGCCAATTTTGAAAGAAATCTCAATCCGGTTCAATAGTCAGGTGGCTGAGGCATGAGGTTAAAAAAGGGGTCACAGGTTGTGGAGGGAGGAGGGACACCCCTGTGACCCCTCAGGTCACCTCTAACAACCACTGACCTGTGGGACCACCCAAAGACACCTCAGTAATCAATCCTTTGATGCTGGGCATGGAGCACCAGAAGACCTCCCTTACACACTCCACTCAGTAGTTGCTAAAACTATACCTTGTGGAAGACTTTAAAACTTTTAGTGGTTTCTCAGACTCATTTACTATACAACAGAGGTAATAAAATTAACAGCTTCAGGAGCAAGGGAAAAAGGATGAGAAATGAGTTTTGATTTTTCTCTTAACAGGTCAGCAAAGAATGAACACTTTATCAGGTCGCCCCAAACACTTTTTACATTTTTATTTCCTAGACGTTAAGGCTCAAGTGTGCTTTCAGGGTGAGTTCCTGAGGAGGCGAGAGACAGAAAGAAGCCAGTTTGTTCACCCACATTATTTTTGAGGTCTGCGCGGGACCCGCCCAGCAGGAGGATGCGGGTGCTCTGGGAGTGACTGTTCTGGCAGGCCAGGTGCAGAGCCGTGTTCCCCGCCTTGGAGAGAGTCAAGAGAAGGGAGGACACATTAGCAACACTCTTGTCCAGAGACCGACACCAGGCAGGCCTCCAGGGGTCAATTCTCACGTTTCTGCCTCGTGACGGGAGGGCCCGGCCAGCGTGCTTCACAGTAGCAGAACATTTACTTGGGAACCCAAACAGGCAAAAGAATCACACCTCGGAAAACCTTGGCTGCAAGTCCTGCCTCTGACACTCATTAGAGAGAAGCCACTGGGCACGCGTCTCAGCCTTGAATGCCTTACCTGTGAAGTGGAGTGTGACCTTTACATCCTGAGGCTGTGAGGCCTGAGGCAGAACACCCAGGACAGCATTTTCTTAGTGCTAAAATGCTGGGGACACCCATCCCCTGCCACGGCTACAGTTCTCTACCAAAAAGAGTAATCAGCACAAACAGCCTCTAAGTGCAGGCTAAAGGAAGCCTTTACCTTTGAAGTTGAGCAGATCTTACTTGTAAGCCTTTTTCAGATAGCAACTCCTTGTGGCTGTCTTGAAATACTGAAATGTGAACTATAAACAAGGCTGTCATGTAGCAGACACTCCAATGGCACTTATCACAGAGACCCTCCTGCCTTTTGGGCTCTAATGTGCGAGGTCAAGTGATGACCAAGGGCTAGAAAATGTTGACAGCAATCTCACAGAAAAAAATTCCTAGCTATGAGAACAAAGTCTACAAGGCTGCTAACTCCTAGGAAAGTCACAAAACGCAGGCAGCATGAGTGGAGACCAGGTGTGTGAACTCACGGTTCCGGCGAGCTGGATCAGGACGCAGGTACACCGGCCCAGAGCCTCACGCTGCCTGTGTGGTTTTTCCTCACTTAGTTTCCCCCTGGATCACTCAGCACTGTCTGCCCATACTCAAGGATGTTAGTTAAATTCCTCATCTTTCAAAAAAAGGAATTCTTTTCTGTTGTTTGAAAACAAACAAAATAGGAAAACCCTATGTTGCCAGATCTCTAACCTCCCCTCTAGTCAGCCTAGAAGAGTCTCTTCCTCACTGTGACCGCAGGGAAGCTGGTGGAGGCTCACGAACTCATTAGAGTCACCTGGGCAGCCTTGCCCATGCCATGTACAGCTGCAACCCTTCCAGGGGCTTCTGCTTATACAGTTTGTACAGCTTGGGGGCAGGGTCGGGGCTATTCCAGGTTTTTTTGTTGTTGTTGTTTTTGTTTTTTTTGCATTTTTAAAAGGAAAGGAAAGGAGACGATGCACAGACATAAGCAGGCAGAAAGAGCTTCAGCTGAGGTTTTGAAAAGGGAAAAAGGTGTGTGAAAAGAAAGGCCTGTGTAGTCACAGGAGGGCAGAGAGCTGCCTGGGCCATTCAGGTTTTAGCAATGACCATCCAGCGTTCTGAGAAACCCGTGGGTCTAGGATAAACTAGGACAGTTGGTAACCACAGGCCTAGTTATCAGAGTGGGTGCATTTCACCCCTTCCTTTGCTTAAAGTGTCCCAAGAGATTTTAAAGTGCAGCCAGATAGAGAACCACTGCAAGCTTAGGTCTCAAAAATGAAGGATCTGCCCAGGTTTTAAACATCCCATTCCATGTAAAAGGGCTGTGTTTCACCAAGTGTAATTCTCATTGCAGTTTCAGAGCTGTTGGCTTTGTGGGAGTCATTAAACGTGCTGAATAAGTGAATGAAGTAAAGATAAAGTCTGATGGCTTGAGAAACAGATCAAATTTACTTTGCCAGTAAGAAATCAATTATGCTGAAAAGCAGTTGGTCAAGAAAATAAAAAATTGTTTTGATAAATTATGGTCTAACCATACATGGAATATTACTCGGCAATAAAAATGAATCAATCACATGTAACAGTGTAATCTCAAAAACATTATACGCTAAGTGAAAAGTCAGATGCAAAAGGCTTTATACTGTCTGATTGCATTTATCTGGTCTTCTGAGAAAGCCCAAATAATTTGATGGTAGTCCAGAGATGGGAATGGGTGGGCAGGTTGCCAACAAAGGGCATAAAGGTATTTTTTTGGGAAGGGATGGAGATATTGTTTCTTGATTATGGTGATGACTGCACAATTGAATATATTTGTCAAATCTACAGGACAGTATACCCAAGCAGGATGAACTTTACTTTCAACTTTACTTTCACATTTTAAAAAAATGTGATCTAGGTAGAGGGACATGCATAGCAGGCATTTTTCCCACTCTGCTATACTGGCTCAGTAAGGCTTAAAGCATATGACTTGGGCTTAAAAAAGGGAATCCCGACATCTGTGACAAAAAGGAATGGACGTGGATGATAGGATGCTAAGTGAAATAAGTCAGACACAGAAAGATAAATACCAGATGCTCTCACTTACATGAGGAATCAAAAAATTCAAACTGTACTCACAGAAACAGAAACGTGGCTTGGGAATACTAGGAAAATGAGGAGGAGAGGTTGGTGAAAAGATAAAGCTATAGTGACAAGCAAGGTGGGGAGGTCTGGGCCGGAGGGCAGGCAGCAACCAGGCCTCCCAACACCCCACGAACCTTTACTCTTCCTCTGGGCTCTCTGGTGTTCTCCCGTGGTCTCACCTCCCTGAAGTCACTCAACCTTTCGCTGCCGCCCCCAGTCTCTGCGTGATGCAGCGCTTACAGCCGCAGCCCCCAAGCGCAGGTGAGCACACTCACGCATGCGCACACCGCACTCCAGGTGCGCACTCCAGGCTCGTGGGCCCAGCGCCCACGCTTCCAAGCCCCTTCTGCATTACCTTCTGCATTAGCACAATCAAGGGCGCAGGTGAGGGCCCCAGAGGCCCTCACTTGACTATTTCATTTACTTGCAAAGCTTTCAGCTGAGTGTTGAGTGAGGCCTGAAGATCAAACCTACATATGGCGACTATAATTGATCATATTGTATTGTATAATTGCAATTTGCTAAGAACAGTGCTTTAATTTCTCACCGAAAAGGAAAAGGAAATATGTGAGGTGATGAATATGTTGGTTAAGCTAAGGGGGAAATTTTTTCCTGACACTTATGCGTATAAAATGATAACACAGTTAACTTAATATATCTTACAATTTTGTTTCTCAGTTATACCTTCACAAAGCTGGGATGGTGGGTGAGGAAGGATCTTTCTAAAGGTTTCATCAGTCGGTGGTTTTTCCCTCATTTAGTTTCCCTCTGGATCACTCAGCACTGTCTGCCCATACTCAAGGATGTTACATTCCTTATCTTTTGAAAAGAGGAGTTATTTTGTTGTTGTTTGAAAACAAACAGAAACAGGAAAACCCTAGGCTACACCCTATGTTGGGTGCAGATGTACAGGTCCTTTGGGGAACTGCAGCTTACCTGGATCTCCAACAGCCTTTGCTGCTTTACCTGGAGGGAGAACTTGTGGCTCTCCACCATATTTTCGGGGTCCTTCCTGAGATAGAATGCAACATGGTGGAGCAGACATACATACTTGGGTCCATTTACGGCCCTAATCACACAAATATTATGTGTTTTATCCACGGGTTCCACTGCTCCCAGCCTTTGGCACCTTGTCCATTAACCTACTTCTCAAAGTTGGTATAAACTGACCAACTCATTCACAACTCGGAAGAAGTGAAGCAGCCACTAAGCCGCCATCACTGCAAATGTTACCATGCAGAGCTTACTTCTTTCCCTCAAACTTTTGACCAAAAATAAGAACACAGGAAACAGCCTCAGGGCCAGGCTGCAGGTATAGAGGCAGCAATGAAGAGCTGGCGATGCCTAAGGAAGCAGGAGACTGAAGGGGCAGTGAGCCCGACTCTGGCATGGCAGGGGGCGGGGGCAAGACTGGGAAAGACACAGGTAAGGGGTTCTAGGTGGAGGCTGAGGCCACGCAGGGGAGACAGCTTCCGACTAAGGACCTTTATTGGAAGGTTTCTGAGCAGAGGGTGAAGAAGGGGCTAAACAAGCTGGTCAATCTGCTGTGAGGCTTCTGCAGTGATCCAAGGACACATTAATAATAAACACAGGAAGAGAGGGGTAGATGTGAGAGAGATAAGATGTGATGAGAGACTGGAGAGGGGAGAGAGCTAAATAAGGGAAAAGAGACACTATGGTGCCGTTGCTGTATGTGAGGGCAGCTGGCTTGCTAAACTCTACTAATAGAACAATGGAAAAGCAGCGTGAGGGCCAGGATGGGTGAAAGGAAGTCAAAGCCAGTGGAGCAGTGTCTCTCTGCTCAGCATGTAGACCACACTCACTAAGAAGTTTGACTCTCCCATCTCCCCTGCCGTTCTCTGCCCTCCCCTGGGTTCTTTCGCTCCACTGCTCTCTGGCTCTGCTCAGAGAGGAGGTGCCCCATCCTCACACCATCCTCACCTGTGAGTGAGAATTCCTAGCACCTGCTGGGCCTCACCTTGTTCTTGGCAAGCACGTTGGCTCCGGCCTTAACAAGCAGCTTGGCTGACTGGCTGAAACCATGCCAGGAAGCTTCGTGCAGTGCTGTGTTCCCGTCCTGAGGAACATACGAGGGTGAGAGAGCACGTTACCCCAGCCCTGACTCATCCCGCAGTAACAGTACATCATAGAGTATTTTTAGGGTACATCAGAAGGTCTTTCTCAACTGGGGTTTCTCATCAAGTCACAGAACCCAGAAAATTATTTGAGTGACCAGTTTCTCGTTTTCCAAGAAAGATGCACCATGAGTATCATTCCAGATTCATGATCTACAACAGCCACTTTAAGGCATCATGGCTTAATTCTCTCTGGGAACCCCTGTGGAGAAAGGTTCATGTTTAACAGAAAGTTAAACTAGTATAACATCCACCCCTTCCCATCTCCGTCACCCCTTGGGGTCTGCTCTGCTGTGGCGCCTGAGAGCCCTGCAAAGATCAAGCAGATGAAGAGTCCAGCTTTCTAAATTCGATTCCTAAATTAGACTTCGTTGCCTAAGTCACACCCCTCGTGGGTGTCAGCAACTATGGTCCCAGCCCCAGCCCCTGTGAACTTGGCTATTGAGTTGCTGTCCCTTGAAGTGGTGCTGGTCTGGAAGCTGCCTAGGAATAAGGGGGGCAGGGAACTCAGGGCCCTCAGGCTGTCAAGGCTCATCTGGATGTTTCAGTGAGTAGCAGGAGAGGTGCTCCCCACACAGAGGGATAGACCACTGTTATTTCTTAAAGAAAAAACTGCTTTTGCATTTTTTCCCTTGCCAAGGTAGCTTCAACAAAATAGCATTCACTTGATCTTAAAAGATAGGTCTTAAAAAAGGAACCAGTTCTAGGGGCCCTCCTCAGGGTCTCCCCCAGGCCATTATTTCCAGGCTTTTTTTCTTTGTCATTTATGTGGTTACCCACTGCTACCGCAGAATAGGGAGATTTTTTTAAGTAGAATTTGCTGGGATAGCACTCTTTTTAAGAAAACGTGTGCTACCTAGATCACGTTCAATCATAAGGGTATACGCAGGAGTGACACAGTCTCCTCCAGCCGGAAGGCCCTACTTCACCTTGTCTTGTCGGTCCAGAGCACAGCCTTCCTGGATGAGAGCGGCGATGATCTCGATGTTCCCCACCACTGTGGCCCGGTGCAGGGCGGTCTGATCCCCCTGCAGAAGGCCCAGAGGCAGGAGCAGTGGTGAGCTCCCCACACCACCCACGCACACCCCTCCCCCTGGGTATCTTCTTCCCCATGTGGAGCACACTGGTCCCCACAAAGAAGGCGACCTTTGTGGTCTAGTTAGTAGAAGTGTAAGGGCAGAGCAGTTTTGTTTTTACATTCAGTAGGAACCTAACCAACCACAGAACCACCCTCGGAGCACAGCTGACCTCAAAATAAGGACTAGGTCCTCATCTGTAGCCCCAGGGGGTGGCAATGTCAGCTGGAAGGTGTCACATCTAAGAGCAGACTGTGTGCTGTGCAATGAAACCCTCAGTGTCTGACTCATCCTGCCAACTGGGGGGGCTGGCTCCCCGCTTTCAGAAGAACCACTGTCTAGCTCTGTTAGTAGCACTTGTGATCTGATGACACTGCATAATTTTTAGTCTGAGATGTACTGGCCAAAAGCAACACAGGGTGTATACATGATGTCACTTGCAGGGTCAGCAAGTGGTCACTGCGTACCTCTAAGAAGCCTCTCCTGGGAGCTGGTGACGCCATCCTAGCTGATTTATGTTGCATTTGACCTCCTTTTCTGTGATCAGATTCTGAGGATTCCTGACTGTCTCTTTTTCTATCTGGAAGCCAAGGGAAATTGACTCTTCCCCCTAACTGCAGTTAGAGGACTAAACACTCCTCGAGGTAAGGCAGTCAAGACTAGTAAGAGTTCGCCGGTCTCTAAAGGCACATCCTGTTGCTGCAATGTACTTAGTCAAGTAGAGAGCAGTCAATGGGGTGAGCAGAGCAGAGGGGGATGGAATGTGCAGCGGCCACAGGGCTGGAGCCCTGAGCCATGGCAGCTCTGGGAGACACCTGTCACCTCCATGGGCCTCAGGCTCCTCACCTGTATAAGGAGGGCTGAGTCCCTGGGGACCTGTCTTTCCTGCTTGGGTTCTATGATTTGGATTGTGAGAGTTTTGCATAAATGAAGTTTCCTGGTGGAGCCCTGGAGGAAAGAGAGCACCCTGGGGCCTCCTGGTCCTACCCACAAAAGGAGACTATGAAAAGCACAGGATATGTAGTTTTTGTTTATTTTTTTTTAATGAGGATACCCCATACCTACAAATAAACTAAATGAAATGATGATTTTACTTACTAAACTCTCTGGAATCTGTAAACAAAAAATACATATTAAAAGCAGTTAACCTGAAAGAACTTTCTAGAGATGGCTGGTGCTCATGGTTATACAACAATGGGCATGTACTTAATGCTACTGAACTGTACACTTAAACAAGGTAAAATAGTAAATTTTGTTATCCAGATCTTCACACAATAAAAAAAAGAAAACACTAAATCCTATTTTAAAATTCTAATTGAAATTCTTGATTTTTTTAAAATTCTCCCTTTAAAAATCCTGCCAAGTGATTTTTATCTTCCTCCTTATAGTTTTGACAATCCCTAATTTTTTATATTTAACACATATAATTTTTGGCATCAGGAAAACCTGCTACTTATTAAAAGTCCGAGCTATCACAATATGCCTATAGTGGGACTGTGTCCATGTCTCAGAATCTTTGGTCACTGTTCATTTATAGACTAGTAGGGATTTCTGCAGAAATGAATCAGGATATTAGCCCTATTGCTGACTTCACCCACTGTCCACAGCATTGCCATCACCAACCCTCTCCTCTGCAATGTTCTCTTCTGTAAGCTATGATTTCCATTATAAATTAGGTTTTCTTCTTGCCCACCTGCTCAGACAACACCCATGGGTGCCATACAATCAAAAGAGACAGGGCCAGCATGACCACATCAGGAGACATACCACACTGTTACACACTCATTTCAAACATTTTGTTTTTTCCAGGTGAGGAAACAAGTATTTAATGCTCCAACAAGTAATCCTTTGAGAAACTGCACAAGTCTTAACTTTTAAAACTTCTATAAAGTTCTAAGGCTGGGTCTCCCTGGTGGCACAAGGGGTTAAGTGCAGCACTGTGAAGCTCTCCACAGCCACTGCAGCACACGTTTCATCCTAGCCAGGGAGATGACCCACATGGCGCAGCAGACCTCTCCTATCTGTCTCACCTTCGGCTTCCCTCAGCAGTGTATCTGTCTGTTCTGTTCCCCACTCCGTCTCTGGTGAATCCTCTCACCCCCACAACTCTGGCCTGTACTACAGTTCTTGTATGCATAAATAAATAAATCTTTAAAGAAGACAAAGTGAATTTCTAAGGTTGCCCATTTCACTATCAGAGTTGTGATAGATTTTCCCAAAATGGACCTGAAAGGCAATTTATTATGTCCAATAATTTAATTATACTTGATTTAATGATACTGATGAAAATAACTTATGTTAATGATGAGAACAGTAGAGCAGGTGAAGCTGATCAGATTTTTCAAATGGTTGGAGGTCCTTAATGTCCTCACAAACTGCTGAGATTCTAATTAGCACACCTTGGATCAATCAGGGGGAACTTTTGACTAATGAACTTAATCATTCTGTCTATGCTGTGCACAAAGAAGGAGCAAGTCCCAAACACATGGGTCTATCACACAAAGAGCCCCCACTGGTTTGGCCTAAACCTAAGCCTTGCTTTAGGAAAAATTCTTTGTGAAGACAAGTGTCACACCCTACCACTAATTCATGAATTGAGACATCTCTGGAACTAGAATATCACATTATTTAACACTTGCTCTCTACATGAATCTACCATATTTACTTCCCTTGAGGTAACCATTTTTGTTAAACTTTGGTTGGTTCAAGATAGAAGCTACAGCTCACTTAGAGTTATTTAACACTTGCTCTCTACATGAATCTACCATATTTTCTTCCCTTGAGGTAACCATTCTTGTTAAACTTTGGTTGGTTCAAGATAGAAGCTACAGCTCACTTAGAGTTTAACTCAAGAGCAGTCAATTTTCACATGGATGACCAAGACTCCTGGAGATCTAGTTATGTGGGTGACACTGCAGTGAGAGCACAGACTGTCCTATAGACACACGTGGAACTGTAGGTGCACTTTCTGTCTCCAGGCCACGATGCTCCTCCATCCTTCCTCCCAGCAGAAACCTCACTCAGAGTCTGCGTCCTTGTCTCAGCATTCAGGTGATACTGCTATGAAGGCCATAGGCAGCCCATTCCACCTCGAGGGCTGTCTGGTAGCTAGACCATGAATGAGTTTGCTAGCATGAGATGGGGTGGTTCTGGAGGACTGAGTGACATACTTTCCCTGGAGGAAAAATCCAGCTGCTCTCAAGTTGCCAAGATGAGAATTAAAGGCTCCAAGAGATGTGGATACACAAGCAAAAAGGCCATCTCAGTCTTTCCACGTCAGGAACAACACAGCGATACGAGGTCCTCCCCAGAACAACCCGGTAATTGAACACCCTCAACTGAAACAGTGTCAAATCACTTGTCAATCGACATTTTTTCCTATAAAATTAAAATTCACTGTTGAAATACTTCCTTACTGAAATATGACACAGAAAAGAATAAAATGTGCTTTTGGTACTTATTAATTTTTTTTTTATTATTGACAGACTCAAGCAGCAAGTTTGACATAATGTGTATTTCCATGTGCTCTAAATTTACCAGGAGATTTTGAAACTTGGGGAAATCATGCTGAGTCTCACAATGGCTTTTGTTCATTATTTATTCAGAGATTATTTATTGATCTCTCTACTATACTCCAAGTGCCATGGCATCTAATTCTCCTATTTTATTGATAAGAAAACTAAGGCCTGGCATAAGATGATGCCCCACCCAGGAAAACCAGGTAATTCAGGTTAGTGTGTTTGGGATAGATTTCAATTGTCAAGACTCCTGGCACTCACCACCCAACTTCAAGTCAGTTAACCTTAAGACAAGCCTTCAAGAATATCAGCTGTCTGTTGGGGTGGGGCTGCCTCCACTTAGTATTATTAAGCTAACTGCTTTAGGGCATTGCCATGCTCACTAAAGCTTCCCAAGAAGCATATGTTGAATGAGTAACTACAAAGGAGCAAATAGAAAGTGCTACAGTTAGTAACTTAAAGGGCCAGCAACCTTGTAGTTTGGCATCTTCATCTGGAACATGCTGACCTGTTTATATGAATGCCAGCTCTCAATTTCTCTAAACCATAAATGTTTCTTACTTTGGGATTTGGCACTTCTGAGGTCTAAAACTTTGTTTTGAAGTACTCTTAATTTTCTCTCCCATATGGTGAAAAACAATGAGCATAGTGGTGGCAGATTCCAAAGATTAGCTCATGGTAGAAACTCCAGTCATGCAAGGGTAGAACATGCCCCTCCGGGAGGAATCCCTCCCGGGAGGCATCAGCAGACATGGTGTGAGGAAGCTCAAGCCAGGGTAGGTACGCAAAGCCAGTTGCTGACCTCTTTTTCTCTCTCTGGTCTTCTAGGGTTCTTCCTAGCCTTTCTTCTCTGGTTTTTCTTATTTTTTTCTTCCTTCATGCCTTTTACCATGGTCACAGGGTCCTGGACTATTTCTGAGGTGGGGGCCATGGGACTGCTCATTGACCAATCAGTGATGGTGTTAAAGCTCCAGTGAGAGTTGACAGGATTGGAGGGAAGCAAGAGGGAATTGGTTCCTGGAGTTGCATATTCTAAAGAACTGGTTTCCACAGGTTGAAATTCATAATAATCCCACTCCATGCCACTGGAGGTCATTCTTCAACTAATTTTCAGTCCTTACCATGACCTAAAGAACAGTATCTGTAGAATATGAAATTAGGAGTAAATTCTTCATAACATTAACATTCTTTATTTCTACCCATCATCCAAGATAGTTAACTGCTGAAATGATTTTTCCCAAAATCACTCTTCTTCTTTAAAGAATAACCATAAAGAATTTTCTTCCTCAGATTCTTGCATATATTTTAGGGCTGATCATCAATGGGCACAGTAAATATGTAAATGATTGACATGAACCATATTCTGGCAACTGCACAATTTCAAAACTAGTGGGTCAGTTCTACCTTACTCATTCCCAACTAACTTTACAATTGATTAGTAGTTGTGTTTTCTTTCTTTTTTTTGTAAAGTTATCTGGGAAGAGCAATGTATGCACTGTCTAGGACATAGAAAAGATGCAAGAAAATAAAGAATTCCAATAAATGAAAGTGTGTTCCTGTTTAAAAGTTGGCATTCCTTCTGTGGACATATCATTCATTGGCTACCTGTTTTACTTAGCCTTGCCTGATATAAACAGCACTAGTCTAGGAAGTTAGAATGACTTCTGCTGCGGAAGAACACAGAGACACTCAGGGCATCTGACATGAGACTGGAGTGTTGGGTTGGGTTGGGTTAGTGTGCCTGGCATTGTGGCCTCGCCACTGTGGCAAGCAAAGGCTTTAGTTATGCAAAGAGAAGACCAGATGTACCTGCATGTCTGCACCAGCAACTCAGTGCTCCACATTTTCTGTGGTGAGTCTTTCTTTCCCTATAGTTTTACTCCTGACTTCTAAGGATTTGATATAATCAGGAATGTTATTATGGCTACAGTGCAGAAAAACAAAAAAGCATAATGATCAAAGGTAGGAATTAATAGCTTAGAGCTAAATCAGCATCTTTTGAAAATAATGTCTTTGATGAACCAGATAGTTTCCAAATAAAACCAGAGGTTTATGAATGACATTGGCCAGCCTCTGCCTATGTATAAAACAAAGGCATACTTAGTCATTTCTTTGCAAATGCCATCCTTCTCACCTGTGTGTTTGCCAAATTTTAGGACCAAAGAAAACCAGAGCACTTTGGCCCCCCATATCCTAACACACCTAAGGGTCTTAAATTTGACAGAACTATGTAACCACAATTGAATAACTCAGTTATTCCAGTGAATCTGGAAGAGTTATGATATAAGCTAACTCCTTCAGATTTTGTGTTCCTCACAAAAGTTCTTATTCTTCATTAAAGTTAGAAACAGAATTAGAAACAATCTCTGAAAATAGTTTCCAATCATGTTATCATGGGACCTTTTCCTTAGAGTCCATTAGAGGACAATTTACATTATGTTGTCTAAATCCCCTTCTTACAGAACCCTTCTGGCCCAAAGACCCTCCAGGGCAACCTATGCGCTATATGACCTCCCCAACCACTCCTGATGGACTCAAAATGGACACTTGACCCCAAAGAAGCCAGTCCAAGTCCCTCTTTAGATAATATGAATGAAAAGAATCAGAGACTGAGTCTTAATAATTGCAGAACAGCAGCGTTAACTCTCACTGGAGGATTTTCTTTTAGAATTCCATGGGATCAGTGTCCTCTTCTTTTTTTTTTTCTTTGAATAGGTCCTTTTTAATTAAATGTACTAATGACCAAGAAAACAATGTGAGAAAAGGAAAAAATTAAGTTACATGTCATCTTTCTTCCAGTGATAAAGCTTGGTCAGTGACATCCATTTTCAGCAGATTTCCACACAGTTACTTGAGAGAATATGTGTGTGTGTGTCTGTGTGTGTGTGTGCGCATGTGCACAAGCACACCTTCATTCTGAGAAAGAACACAAGCAAAATGTGCTTTGAAGCTCTGCATGTGAATGATGCTGGGTAGGAATGAACCATGATGAGAAACCTCCTCATACTCTCAACTCTATTGTGTTACCGACAGTGGGCCCCAGATCAGGTCTCCAAAGAGGAAGTTCTTCCTAGCAAGGGGACCAAAATGGAGCTGAAATATATGGAGATAGCATCTACTACCCTCCCATCTCCTAGCTGTTACATTTGATATTGTGGGCTTCTAGCATACAAGCTCCCCTGCAAATCCCTCTTCTAATAGAAAAGTAGTTCCTACTCACATCATCCTGGACGTCAAGGTCACAGCCAGCCTTCAGCAAGATCTGGACCACAGAAAGATGGCCCTTATTGGCAGCAAGATGCAGGGGCGTCCGGCCATGCTGTAAATACAAGCACACTGATTTCAGAACAAGATAACAAGCCACTGCCAAGGAGCAAGTGTTGGCACAGGGCCCAGCCCCTCCCCCCCTTTGTTTTGGAAGGAGATTCTTATAGATTTAGCAAAATTTAAGTTTGCTTCAGTTAAGCTAGGCTATTGGCATTGTAAGTCATGAACAAAATGTGCTCAAAATGTGACGATTTCCTTTAATGTTTAATTCCCAAATCATCAAGTTAACAAGTAGGAAGATAAAGGATTTCAAGCCTCTTTATAAATTTCCTACTGGTGCTAACACTTGGGCATGAAGAAAGTGACCACAGTGAATCTGATGAGGTAAAAGATGGGAGAATAATAAAAGGCCAAGCTAACCAGTCCTAGAAAAATCTAATTAGTAGTTACACAAACTTGAAACTGTTGGCCAAACTAATCAGAATAGGTTCTCCCTCTTCTTAAAAACTATAAACTACAAATTTATAATATCTCAACTTTAAACAGTATTTTTAAATTCATACATCCACCAGTCACTTTCAGATGACTTTATGTAGACCATGGCTATTCCCTGGGAAATCTGCCCAGATCTCATTTTCCCTTTGACCTCAGAGGTAACAATCCTCTTAAATTTGGTATTCATTACTCCTTTGCCTTTTGTTGTTTTTAATATGTTTGCAGTCATAAATAATATATATTTATCTTGTTTCACTTGTTTCAAGTTTTCTATTTATGGGTACAGTGGCCCTCCCTGGTGGCGCAGTGGGCTAAAGCACAGCACAAAGAAGCTTAAGCCACTTCTGCATGAGTTCGATCCCCGCCTGCCCTGGAGAAGATCCACAAAGCGAGGCAGACCTCTACCCTTCGCATCTCTGGCCTGTACCCCAGTTCTGTATGAATAAATAAATAAATCTAAAAAAAATTGTACAGTATCATCTTTTTTTGGGTTCTAATATTATATTTGAATTCCTTTTTCACATTGTCACCTGTCGCTCTATTCACTATGTATGCATTGTCCTACCAACCAGCATCCAGGCAGGTTTCCAGAACACACCTGTATGCTTGTGTTGGCTTCCAAGCCTGTGGTTGCATCATACAGACAACTATTCCCTTCAGCTGCCCTAAGCATGCAGCCTGGGAGATACGCAGAACAACATCTTCCAGAATAACGCTCTCAGATGTAAATTAGTTTATATCCAGAGAATTGACCTTGCCAAATGCTTGCGCATTCTAAAGGAGACATGATTTCCTTTGGCTTGCTCCCTCACTTTCCCCATGAAAAACATTTCTATTCCTTGCTTCAAATACTAACTACTGCCCCACCCAAGCTGAAACATACTCCTGAAAATAAGGGCCTCACACAGTCTTAAATCTTTTTTAGCATCTAAAAACATGTCCCAAAGACCCTTACTAATATTGTAACAGGATAAATCCATTTGATCTCTAAAAGAACCAGTGTGCATGGGTAGCTAACCATGGAAGAAACAGAGATAGCAGACAATAAAAGGTTCTTAATTTCACCCATGAAATGCAATCAAAGCAGTAGCATAATTCTGGAAAGAAAGGGGTCAGAGCTCACTTTAAAATTAGAATTTTTAATTAAGAAAAAAGTTACTCCCGAGAAACCAGCTCTTAAAAAGCCTTCATAAAAAAGGCAACGTCTGAAGTGAGAGGAAGTGACCTTCCTGAGCTGGCATCTGTGCTCAGCTCAGGCTGCCTAACCTTGATTCCTTACTGGAAGTGCCCACAGCTCAGCAGGTGAGCGCAACAGGCTCCCACTCACTGGACTTGGTCCCATGACCCATTTAGCATTTGGTGTCCCTTCAGTGTATTGATTTACTGAATGTCCTCATGGGAATGGTAGGTCCCTGTCGGTCTTTGTCAAGGACGTCCGAAAGCGACCTTCACACAGCTTGGAAAGCATTCTGAAATACAGGCAGCTCGTCACCTTCGGGAGCAGAAAGGTGTGTGTGCTGAGAAGGCTGACAGGTGGTGGGGCAAGAGCACTTCTGAGCAACTGGGAAATACAGGCAGGGGTGGGGAGAGGTGACCCAGCGCAAGGCTGGCAGAGGGGTGTCAGGATCAGCGAGTCCTGAGGAAGCTCAGCAGCCGCCCGCACTGTGCCTGGCGAGGAGCGGGCACCCCAGGAGGCAAGGGTCTGCTCAAGCAAACAGAAATAACCAGACGGCAGGTTAGAAAACGCTGCTGTGGCCCAAACAGGCACATCTGTGAGGGTGCTTCAGACACAAGTCATTAACAAGACGGCACTGGACAGCACCGTCCTGTCCCAAGCAAGCAGCAAATGGCTTCTGTGGGGGAAGCAGAGTGAGGTGCTCCAGCGGGGCTACTTCGCTTCCCTCCCACCTGCGTGATGCTGCATACCACCTCGCCACTTCCATTTTGTCAGTTATGATACAGGCAGACGCCCACTGTCACCCCCCTACTTGAAACGGATGAATGAGATAGCTCCCACCATCTAATGAACTCCCAGTCCCAATTGTCATCGCTACCCCTCGTTAGCACACACCAGCTGCTCCCTCTCCTTGACAGCCCATCCGTTTGTCTCGGGGAAGACCAGTGAGATATTTTCAATGCCAAAATATCCAGAAGATCCAGGAGAAAAAGTGGCTCCTGGACATTTGACTAGACAGAAGGGCTCTATTTGGACAGTCGAGGTTCCTAGCGGTGAGTCCTGATCCACTGATCCATCTCCATTTTTTTAATATAGTCAAAGGTGTCTTAGTTTTTTCCCTGCCCATCATGCCATGGAGCAGGTTCCTCGGGCTCAGGCTCCTTCCCACGGTTCTCACAGTGTGCCTCTCTGAGAAGGGGGAGCAGGCTGGGGCAACGGCTGGACCCAAGTGCACTTCTCCTGGGCTTTATTTTTTTTTAAGATGTACGTATGCATTCAAGAACTGGAGTACAGGCCAGAGGTACAGGGGGTGAGAGGATTCACCAGAGACAGAGTGGGCAGCAGAGTGACTGAAATATACTGCTGAGGGGAGCAGCAGGCAGGCAAGAGATGTCTGCTGCGCCATGTAGATCACCTCCCTGACTGGGGATGCAACTGGTGCTGCAGTGGCTGTGGCTACCTTCATTGTGCTATGCTTTAACCCCTTGTCAAACCAGGGAGGCCTGATCATTTTCTTTCACATGTTTCAAGAAGCTATCTCAGCTCTTAAGAGTGCTTAATATGCTCAATACAAACATTGACTGTCTTGGCATGAATTACTCTTTACTTGTTTACAACAATGCCAACTTCATGCTGGGTAACATTATACACTCTTCAGTTTTGCCATGGTAACATTTGGTAACACAGGACTTTCCTTTTTGAACAGAGCTCATCCCCTTGATGTCTGCACTATCACCTTTCTTGTGGATTTGCATGCATGTAGCCAGAGGAACACTCCGTGTTTTCTAAGAGGCCTAGAGAACATACTGCAGGTGACTCTCTTCTTCACCTTTCTGGTGATCATTTTGGCAATTTCCTGGAGCATGGTGGTTCCGACCAGAAACCCACTTTATTTTTTTTTAAGATTTTTTTATTTATTCATACAGAACTGGGGTACAGGCCAAAGGTGCAGGGCAGTGAGAGGATTCACCAGAGACAGAGCGGGGAGCAGAAAAGGCCGACTGATTAAGCACACTGCTGAGGGGAGCAGCTAGTTGGTCAGGAGAGGTCTGCCGCGCCATGTGGGTCACCTCCAGCTTCGGGGATAGAACTCAAGCTCACATGGCTTTTTAGCTTCTTAGTGCTGTGCTTTAACCCGCTGTGCCACCAGGGAGGGCCCGCCCACTTTATTTTTTAGCTAGAGTCCACAGTTCCTGTCTCCCCGTCTCTGCTAGAGAGGCCTTCTTTACAGGGTTGCCCTTCTCCAAAGGATTCTCCCTGATTATTCCTGCCCTGTCTTCCCCACTCCCACAGCACATCTGCTCCATCTTGGGAAACCTGAAGTTCTGAGTGTCACCCAAGGGCAATGGCTTCTTCCACTAGGCTGTGATCTCCTTGAAGGCAAGATTGTGCTTTCCATGACTGATGCAGCAAGATGACTCTGGGGAAGCATGGGGCATGTCAAAGGGGTTCTAGTGTTCCTCAGCCATAGGGCAGGCTGGGGCTACCGAGGAGACAGGATCAAATTCCAGTCTTGACCCCAGAGAAACAGAGACACAGTGGCGACAGCAGACTTCAGATTCTAGGCTATTTGGCCCTGAAGAGGAAATATAAACCACCTGGGGGCTTCATGAGCATTGAAGCAGCTGCATCAGTGACACAGGGCTCCTGGGAGGAGTCAGTGTCTCCCCCACATGTCTGGCTCCACTTTTGGTAGATGGTAAAAGTATGGCAGTGGTGATTAGTTCACCGTTGAATTAAATCTGTCCACTCCTATCCCCTGGTCTTTGCTAAAACTAAGAAATCCCCTTCATCATGCTTACACACACACACACACACACACACCACCCACTATCCACTACCCACCACAGGAGGAGAGCAAGAAAGAAGCAGAAAATTACATGGTTTTCAGAACATTCTGTAGTGAAAAACAATGGAGTAACACATTTTGGGGAGTATCCCACCCAGCAGACAGGGATGTCCCATGGCCATGTGACAAGCTGGGAAGGCTCTAACCCCCTAAGTGTGAGGGGGTAGATAAAAACTGACCGTGAGAGGGGCCTTGGCATGACTTAGACTCAAGCATGCCACTGTCCTCATTGCTATGCCTCTAGGACCAGACAGTGGATGAAACGGGAACAGAAGAAAAGAGTATGTGCTATGAACAATAAGATGTTTTTGAAGCATCCATGTGTGCTGGGTCCTACCCCAGTTATCCTAAAAGACCATTTTAACCTTAAGCCAGGTCCTGGTGGGCCCAGGGAGGCCAGTAACAATGAAGACAAGAGCAAGAGACAGCAGCAACTAACACTTCAGGGAGGCTACGTGACAGGTGCTACCTTGATTCTTTGGTATGAAGTAGACACTCAGGTCCCCAAAAGCGGCGTATGAGGTGGGCACAT